TATGCAATGCATATCCTCTGTCTAAAATCCGGGTCGGAGGGTACTCCTTATTTCGCCCCGACCCGGCTTGGCGGAGCAGCGGCGGAGCCTTGAGATGACATGCTGCACCGCCGCTCAGGCCGTATTCTAACATAAACTTAACCTTAACTTTAACCTATAAAATAAATACACCACTATACATAACCCATTATCCCAATAGCTCTCAAAAACCTAAAAGGTTTTTCTTTAAACTCGCTGCCATGCTCGAGCATTCTCCTATAGGCCGGCGGTATTCCATTTCGGTCCCTCCCAGCACACCCCTCTAACTCGAGCGACACCGCGAGTCTGTTATCTTGACATGCTGGGCACCTGGGTCGACCAGCGCCGACCAACAGGTACCCATGAGTCGCACGTGTGTGACCGATCCGCAGGCGGGTCAGGACAACGCTTCCCCTTCGGGATATCCCCTCCGGGCTCCACCGGTTGACCGTCGGCTTGACGGACAACAGTGCGTCAGTCGAGTCATATTATGCATATAATATGGATAATAATATGGATAATATATAATAATATAATATAATATTATATTATGCATATAATATGGACAAATTCAACAGAAAACTAGAGTTGAATTTCCCTCCCTTTTTGACATTTTTCAAATGTTTAGTCTATTTGATTTTCGGGGACAAATGAAATGGCCACGGAGAGCTTTAGTGAAGTATACTTCATTTTGCTTATTTCAAGGGAAAAGTCAAAAGGTGGGGTTGAGATGAGAAGTTGGTGTCCGAGTGGATCGAAGACACGATAGCTCAAGTGGTAGAGCAGCAGCGTATTTAGCTGAAGGTCGTGGGTTCGAATCCCGCTCGTGACACTGACTTTTTTATCTCAACCAAAACCTTAATTAAAGATTAATTAATTGAAAATAATTTATTTGGTCAATCGAACCACGAAACCTAATAGATGTAAGAAATAATAATGTTTAAAAAATAGCTTTGATTACCTATAAAGTAAAACGTTTATGGTTCATGCATTTTAATTAATTTAGTCATAGCATAGAGATATTAATATGTCGCAAAGATTTAAAAAACTGCAACATCCTGATACTATAAATTTTGCAAATTGCCAATTCAGATTTATAAGTTAACATTTGAACTCGGTTGTCAAATAAATATTCCTTATCTATTTGCTGTAATGTCCAGTATGAACAGAATTCCCATTCTCGTCATTTTCCTCTCATCGCTGCTGTAAAAAAAAAATAAGCAAATCTTAATTTCACATCTGTACCTAATCCAGGAAAATTTTGCAATTTGAGCGATTCGGTTGCAACCCAGTAACCTAATTTGACCAGAAAAAAAAGAAAAGAGGAACACTATCGCTATGCGCCAGATCCTTAAGATTATCGATACAATTGTTGAGATACAATTCATTCCTCGCCTTTAAAATTTCCACGCAGTTGGGACGTCATTTTAGATAAGGTCCGATATTAACAGATATCTCGAAAAACAATGTAAACACATTAATGTATATGTTACCATTGTCAAATTTATCCGAGCAATCAGACATAAGTTCCATTTATGCAATAGACCTGGATGGGAGGGGATGAAGATGATTGATAATGATGAGAAGAATGCTAGGAAGGAGGAGTTTTCTATTCTCAAGTTTGTACTTTTCCTAAGTTCATTTAAAATGGCTCGATCTTTCTTTTAAGAAGTCATTGAATATCATCGCTGAATTTCTTATACCAGGTCTTCTACCCCTATTAACCTAGGGGTACCCTAGATTGTCAACATTGAGCGGTTGCTTCCCATTCGAAGAAAATATGGGTGGAGGTTCTTCCTTCTAGGATAACGTAAAAATGGGGTCATCGTTGAATTTTCCCATGCAATGTAGGTGTGCCAGAGACCGCTATATAACCCTAGCACTACCCTGTAATAAGTCCGACTGGAGTCCATCCATTTCACGTTTTGTTTTTGTTGACCCATTCTGAGACGAAGGGGATGATCTTTTATTATAACTGCAGGTTCTGTGCAGATTCCCTTTGTACCTGGCACCCTATGTCGGGAGGTCAGATTTTCCCATGTTTTGGAGATTTTGGATGCATTCACAGACTATTTTGGATGTGACCTTTTTACGCGATATACTTTTAATGCTGCTTGGCGTCTGATGTTGTCAATGTAATCTCTTTTAAAACATTTCCTAATGAGTTTGACTTCTCATATTTTGGGACCCGATTCCTTCATTGATATTGGAATTGCTGATATGTGTCCTGTTAAAAATTTATAAGATGTTATATGATGATGTAAAGGATGTTTTTGGATTATACAATCAGTCCTCATCTCTGGTGATGGGTGTTTGATTTGTTATTGTCGTATGCTGGAAATGTTTAATCTCCTAAATTAGTTTCGGACGTCTGTATGAGGGGAGAAGATATTTGTCTATTTAGATGTGAATCCGTATAAAAATAGATAAAATCAGCCAATACGGTTTTATCAATATGCCTGTTCATCAGAATCACAAATCTATTTGAATAACAGTCAAATAGGCTTTTCATCTTTCGATAACCACCCTTAATTATTTGACCAATATAAACGCTACAATTCAATTACAAAAGAAGAATCAATTTATAAAGCAAACGGCTTCGGTCACAATTATTTACAGAAACACCCAAAGGTCAGTCCGAAGTTGAAAATGCCCTCTGGGGAAATCATAAACTATAATAATCCGTGTTTGAGCAAGCGGATTCTCTCCATTTGCCAAAACTTTCAACCTAGACCTGCTTTGGACCTATTTTTGTCTCATCTGAATTAGTATACCACATAGAAAAAAGTGTTACAAACAACCAAATTGATCAATAAAATCGATAGTTTACTTTGAATGGGAAAATTTGAAGTGGAATCAGTTCAATTTTGGTTGGAATAATAGAATTTTGTAATGAGAATTTGGAATGAGTTCACCATTAGAATTTTATTTGAGAGAATTGGGTTTAGAAAAAGGTCAGTCTGCTACGGTTAAAGTAGAATTCGGGTTGAAAAAATAGAAATTGAAATTGAATGAGTTGAATTTGATTTGGATAGATTTTGATTTGGGGAAAGTCCAATCGGGTTGGAAAAATAAAATTTAATTTGGTACAAGTGGAATTTCGGCTGGAAAAATATGATTTGATCTGGAATCAGTTTAATTTGATTTTGCAAATGTTCGTCAATTTGGGTCGGAAAAGGGGAATTTGATTTGGAAAAAGTACAATTTGATTTTGTACAAGTTCAATTTAGGTTGGAATAAGACAATTTGATTTGGGTAAACCGTAATTTGAATTGGCAATTCAACTAGGGTTGGAAAAATATAATTTTATTTGAGAAAAGAAATTAGGTTTAAAAAAAATCAATTTTTTAGGTTCAAGTTCAGTTTGGGTTGAAAAGAGAATTTGATTTGCTACAAGTTCAATTATGGTTGGCACAATGGCATTTCATTTGAGAAAATAAATAAGGTTTAAAAAAAATAATTTTTTGTAAAAGTTCAATTTGGGTTGGAACAATAGAATTTTATTTGAGAAAAGAAATTAGGTTTTTAAAAAAATCAATTTTTTGTAAAAGTTCAATTTGGGTTGGAACAATAGAATTTTATTTGAGAAAATAAATTAGGTTTTTAAAAAAATCGTTTTTTTTTTTTTTTTGTACAAGTTCAATTTGGGCTAGAAAAGTAGAATTTTATTTGAGAAAAGAAATTAGGTTTTTAAAAAAATCGGTTTTTTTGTGTTCAAGTTCAATTTGGGTTGGAAAAGAGGATTTGATTTGCTACAAGTTCAATATGGGTTGGAACAATAAAATTTCATTTGAGAAAAGTGCAATTGGAATTAGAAAAAGTTCAGTTTGGCTCTTTTCCGTTTGGAAAAGTAGAATTCGATCTGGAATGAGATCAATTCGATTTGGAAAAATGATTCGGAAAAAGTTTAATTTAGTTTGGTAAAATGTAGAATGTAGTTTTCGTTCTCGTCCAGAAAAGTGTTATAAACTGCCAACAAAATCGATATTGGATTTGGTTGTTAAAACCATTATAAACTCAAAAATTAAACCTGCATGAATCATCAAACTGGCGCATCTTTAAAACAGGCTTATATTTTTAAAATCTAAATGATATCGCACGGAGAAAAAGTTAAAAACATCAAAATAGTCTCAACCGCATCTTTAAAATAATAAAAGTCGTGTAAAAAAAATAGCACATCAAAGGCTCCAGGTCCATCGAGTGCCACGCTAAAAATCATAGATTTTTGTCATGAATGCAAGCATGCTCGAGGAAAAATACTCGCGCATGAAGGATATTAATGCCGTCCTTCCACCTGAGTGAGAAATAAGGAAATATGGTCGAGTGCCTAAGGAAAAGCCATTATAAAAACCTCCATAGGGGACAAATGAAACTTTATTTATAAAACAGTCGACTGGCTTTTTCTAATTATTGCCTAATTCTCGATAAAAAAAGTTTCCACCGTTGCTAAACTAGATTTTCCTATTAAAATTTATCACTGATGAGAATAACTGTTTATTGTTCTGTTGTTTTCTAAATCGACGGTCAAAATTGCACTGTTGAGAATTTTTTATCACAAAACATAATAAAATGTTATCAACAATAACAGTGAAACATATTCAAAAGTACGATTACAAAATACTGATAGTGATCGTGATTCTTTGACCCCTTACAGTTTTTTTTTATTTTAAATTGAGGTCAAGGATTATTAAGCCTTTGCACAAAGGGTATTGAATTTCGACAATGGGAAATAAGTAAGGATTTGGCATGTCAACCCAATACAGCATGGTAGGGGGCCATCCATTTGGCAGAAAAAGGCGTGAAAAGGGCCTGAGCTAGGAATAATCGTACGGGCAACCATGACGACACGGCAAACAAAACAAAACAGGAATCGATGACTTTTGACCAATTTCAAGCATGACAATTTAAAAAAAAAAACGAACAGCAACAGCTAAAGAGAGACGGAGACAGAAAACTCAGTGCTGTGTTTAAGACAAAATTACCTGTAAAATTATCGATGTGGTTATGAGGCCGAGCATGAGTGAATAGAATTCGTGCTTATCTCCGACTTGCAGGATATATTTAAGCTGGCTTGCGTTCGCAGTGAGCAAGGCGATGTCGAGCATCCCCTGGGCGATGGTCTTCTTCGTGGCATACCTGTTGGCGTCCAACGGCTTCCCGGGCTGCAACTGTTTGCAAGAAACGGCTTTTCATAAGAGTGCAATTGTAAAATTTATTTTTCAACTGACATTTGTTGTGATCTCCGGTGATATCGCAGAGTTGGTGATCATTTCTGTTCGAGTTGTACCCCTCGACTGGCAAATTTCTCTAGCGTGGATGAATATCGATTCGGCCGCTTAACGCCGACCTTAACGCCACCCCGGTGTCCTTACTTTCAATGCTTTCCAACGGCAAAGGTCTACGCTTGAAATTAATTAACTATTACAACCGTGAGACCATCGTAAAGGAAGACCAACTCAGATAAAGAAATCATAAAATTAGTTTGCCCAACATAAACTAAATATACAGAACGATTTTTTAGAAATAAAATTATCAATATTAATAATCAATAATAAATTCAAGTTAGTTAGTCAACGAAGTCATTCAGGCTGTATTTGCTCGTGTGTGTTGACCTAAATCAACAAACCCCACCCATAATTAAAAATTTAAATTGAATTGAAAACCACCTCCCAACACCGATTTTTCCAGCTTCCTTCAGTTATTAATTTTTTAAAATGAAATATAATTTCAATATTAAAAACCTACATCAACTTTTCAACCAACCTTTCCATTGATCAGAGATGGAAGTCTACCAAGTACAATTCTTCCGTTTTAAATCCGCCATTCAAAAGCTTGCAACACCGTTTTTTGTTGATTTGGAAAGGTGCAACTGTTTTGTCCCATGCCCTGTACTTACAATAGACCTCCTAAATTATCGAATTTGTTATTTGCCCCATTTGTATCTTATTTACCACTTTGTGGAGCCTCATTGTTTCTTCATTCGGAAAATTCTTGATCCTTGACGACTATAATGTACGGAGTAGTGTAGTGACCTTGAGAAGTTGGTTTGGAACTGTTGAGCGCCGTCGACTCTCTAGTGTGCAGTGTCGTGCGCTGTCGTGAGAGCTCTTGGCGGGTGTCGATGTTGTAGGCAGTACTAAGTACAAGTAGCTGTCAGCCAAGTCGGTTATCGAATGAGAGTTGCTTGTGTTGACAGCTAAGACCGAATCAGAGACACACGAGAGTTAGGGTACCAGATCCTGTCTGCGTAGACGGGGGAGGGTGCATAACCATCTGTACTACGGGGTAACAGAAATGTTCTAAGGTTCAGCCCCTGTAACACTGGGAATGGACTCCCCCCTGGCGGGAACTTAGAGAAGAAGCTGTCTTCTATCTGTGACCTTCGCGCGAAACTTGCGTATGATCATCGTTATACACCTGGCCTCACGGGATACGGCGGATCGGACCGAAGCGTATAAGCGTTGAGATTACGCTTGAAAATTACGCTGACAGAATCCCTCCAATGTGTGAGTAGTGGCGGATGGAAATGGGTAGTGAATCGGTTGCTCCTATTCAAGTATGCTTTGCACGCAGGTGTAGGCTCGATTGGAGCCTTTTACCGTAGGCAGTCTCCTCTAGGGGGTGGTTAGCAATTCCACTTTAAACAAAACCGCGGCCGGAGCGGATCCTGTAGTTTCTATGCTTGAGAAGCCGGAATACTCTGGGAGATAGAGTGGCCTTCTCTATCTAGGGAGTGCGCGAGACCAGGCTGATGTATTTCGGCTTAGGTAGCCCTTTGCGCGCGGCATATGGTTCGATGCTTAATGCGGACCCGTCCATTCAGAATGGGCAAGCGGGGTGCGAGGTTGTCTTGGCCCCTCGTGACTGAGCTGCCTCTACACCATGCTTCAGCTCTCAACTTGAGAATCAAAACGTCCGATAAAGCCGAAAGGCTAGGTGGGGACGTTTAAGATCCTCATTGTCCTTTTAAGGACGACCGAGTGTACGGGAAAGCTAAGATCGACTATGGGCTAGGAGCTATCTATGGAAATAAGCCAAGGGCTAGTATACAAATATAGGCAGGTACACGCTAAGTGAATCTCGGCCAACGAAACCAAAAACAAGATATCGGGCCGAACGTTGGTCGCAAACACACCCGTACACGCTAAACAAATCATGGCCAATGAAGCGGTTGGTAGTCTTTTGTTGGCCGAGATTTGCTTAGTTTGTACGCGCCTTAAGCCTTGGGCAATATGCCACCGTCTTTCAAGCGGAGTCTGTATCTATTGAATACTGTCAAACAGATTAAAAGGCTAGGTACTATTAGCAAAAATTATCCATCTATTCGAACAGCTAGACGGCACTAAAGGCAATTACCTCATCGGTAGTAAAGATTAGAGTCGTTTGGAACTGCATCAGAATCTTGTCTGACATTGGGTATAACAAAAAATTACCCTTGCATGTGTAAAAGGGCTCAGATGACATAGGGGTAAAGAAAAGGCCGATAAATTTGCCAAGGAAAGTTTCAAAAAGACATTGCTCTTTTCTGGCATACCAAACTGCCATAAATAAAGCTCCATCCGGCAATGGATTAAGAACAAGTTCTTGGTTTAATGGGATTGTGTATCAGAACAGAGGCATGTGAAAAAGTTCATCAAAGGATGCAGAAACTAACGGCAGAAGTACTAAAACTAGAACTAAAGCTAGATTAATAGTAGTACTGCTGACTGGACAGTACAGACTCCCAAGGCATATGTACAGGCTCTACAAGACAGATATTGCCAGAAGAAAGAAGAAACAGTGGAATATATCTATCGATGGTGCGAAGGTTTATGTCGGCTTTGATTCCTACTCCTCGGAGAGGAAAAGCATGTGCCTAAAGGGTACACACAGGACTTAACCTTGTTTAACTTAGCCAAACTTGGAGATCTAGTAGTAGCCATCTTAATGAAGAGCTTTATTAATGGAGATGCTCAATAGACCAATACTGATCGTAAAGAGGCCGACCTTTAATTTTTAAACCCCATCCCCCAAGTACCTTGTGGCTTGAGGCTTGTGTTGGCGACTTGCTCCGTTAGTGATGAGATCTAGATGATTCTGATTTAAGCCGGTTGAACACTACTTACATAGAGACGTGCTGCACGTTCATGTGCTTCTGTGAGTCGAAAGCATTCGAAGCAGTAGCCCCTGTAGTAACTTTAATAAAGCATAGGCAGTCCGACACGACTGACAGTCCATTTACTCTTACAACCAATACAATAGATTCAATGAATGACTTATGAAAAACCAACTCACCTGTTCTGTACTTATAGGCAGGAAGTCCTAATTTATCTTGGTTTGACAAGTCCCATGGTTGAGCTATAAGCCCCTAACATTTTCTCCTGAGACGTAGTACAGCAGTCTGATCATTGTTTCTTCTGCTTATTTGATTCCGTTGGCGTCAATTGAAGTTTAAGTATCTTATCAATAAATTTAGTTAAACATAGTACATACCTTCCTACTTATTGTTGTATTTTCAAAACTTCAAACCTTTCCAGGAGTATCTTGGATTGTCAGTGTCTTGTAGAAAACTGCAGTTCCTTTATAAGGAAGAACATCTCTAAACACCCTACTTGTCCGTCCTACATTCTCGAGATGTTAACCTATTTTTAAAATAGATAAACCTGGGCAAAAGTTTCTTACTAGTTCCGTGTTTTCACAAAGGCTTCAAAGAAGATACTTTTGAGGGTAAAGCAAATGTAAGACTCCCATTGTTCTTTCTCGCCTTATCTTCTGTTCTGTAGATTCCTGTAGTGAGTCTTCCTATTATGGAGAAGTGTGCTAGTCAACGATGTGCCATATCTTTTTCTTGCAAGAGTATCCGGGTGTATGTTTTTTTTTCAATTCATCCTTGGAACATTGAGGATTTTTATATGAGTACAGAACCCCTTTCCCTCTTTACCCCCTGCTTTGATGCTTTGACAAAGGCTTCCTGGGTTACTGAACCCGCACCCCTCAGGCAACGGGTACAAACAGGGGTTCTTAGACCAACTAGACGCCAATTGAGGCCGTACTCGAGTTGGTCGTGGTTTGAAAAACCTCTATCTTAGCTGGAGGATACCGACCGGAGCCGAAGAGTGCCTTCTCTACCTCCAGGGGGGTGGCTGAAACCCAAAAAAACTGTCTTTTTAAAGTCGCATGAATGGATGTGCCCTTTTTAGAGCTTTTCTGAACCTGGCTTGCCAGAGAATGTGACAAGTCCAATGTAAAATTTTTCTGGTACTATCCTAAGATGGTATCGGGCATCTGAGAGACCCCCTAGGGGGTGAGTCCGGACGTTAAAGATTCTCAGTCTAATTCAACTCAACTGAGTGAGATACGCACATCTGTACAGAACCCAAAGTTATTAACCTTCTAAGAAGTGGATTATTATCTCATCAATTCAAAAATAAAACTATGAAATACAGTAGGAAATGTCTATTGGCCATAGTCATAACCGAGTTTCTGTTCTTGTTCCTGAAGTGGTTGATCTGGCTTCTGAAAAAAATTGATCAATCAGACACATTACACGATAACATCATTTTAACCTTAATCACTTAATTAAAAATGAAAATAGATTAGAATATAATTTTCAAGGGTTGCATGGTAGCATAATGAAAAACCAAGTTCCGACCAAGCATAGACAACGGCTTTATCAGTTATCTGGCCAAAATTCACATAGTTTGCCTAATCACAAATATTAATGAATTGAACTGAAATTATTTTAAGCGATGCTTGTCCGAATCAGAGTGAAATTCAATTGAAACCACGGTATGATCAATGGAATCAGTAACTTCCGTTTCAGAAGGCAACCAATCCCAAAACAAAAGACACCCATTCAAAACTTTTCCGCGTTGTTCTCATAAAATCGGGTAAACTCTCCTGAGGAGAACTTTACCCATTTGTCATTTAATTAGTGTCAATTTCGTTTGACAAATTCGAAATCAATTGAAACGTCAATACTTGATGAGATGTCTAATTCTATGTTATAACAAAATTGACCAAAAACGGACAGCATTTTTTTTCAATAATGTTAAAACCACAATGTGAAAATTGGTAATAAAGTGATAATGATTTTGCCCTGTGGATCGTGTTTTGTGCAGAGATCAATTTAGGACAATTCTTGAGAATAGAAACGAACACGCGAATTGAACCTTGTTAGCCGAACAATCGGTATCGTTTAGCTAATAAAAGACCCCCTTTCCGACTTAGAATGAGAACTTAACGATTTTTTTTTTCAAATTTATTTTTAAAATTGTACGAACGTGCAAAACTGACCAGAAGGAACAGGGCGTATTTGCAAATGTTCTAAGGCATTGGTAGAATTGGTAAAATATGTTAAATGAAGGCCTTGTTGCACTAATCACGTTTTAAACTGGGTTCACTAGAATCTAGTTCACAATTTGAACCAAGTTCTACTGAACCTTGCGGCCTAATGACGAGTATAAATAAATATGCGAGAGAAAAAGCATTGAGCTATATCATAAAATAAATAGAAATAACCGGACTTGTTACTGATTAGAAAAACAAAAGACGGTTAGAACTATGTGCAATTAAAATTCGAAAATTTGCAAGTCAAAAGTTGAACAATTTTTTATCGAAACCTGGGAAAAAAACTGATTGAAATCGCCTTCAACTTTGGTCGGTCAAAAGTTCAATCTTTAACAGCGTACAGGTTATATTATGAAAAGAACGTCGTTTAAACTAAACTAGGTTTAACCCACGCTCGACGGGCGTTCAGAGTTGAACCAGGTTCATCATTTGAACTCGGTTTTCTACTAAACTGAGTTTAAATCAATTCGGTGCAATTGGCCCTACGACTATAAGGCTATATAGAAGAATTGCCCAATTGTTTAGTTACATAAAACCGGAAATAGTTGCTGGGCATCATCTTGATCCAAAGATTTCCCAGAAATGGATCCAGAAATCTATTTGACAAATTAAAATATTGCTATAATAATCCATATGTTTTTAGTTGGTCCTAGTTAACTAAAAGTAATGATTTAAATTTATTAATTAATTGGACGATAAATTGGTGATACGAGCGGGACCTTCGGGGTCGAGCCGGAAGTCTCAGGTTCGAGTCCCGCTCGTGACACTATTTTTTTCTTGATTTTCCTGCATTATGTTTAATTGCTGCATTACCATAATATATTAGATGTTACAGAAGTAAAACGTTGAATCTATTAGAGAAAAGACACTGCAAAATATGCAGGTAAAAACTGTGAAAACTATATTTTCAGCACTCTAGTTTAAATTTCGGGTCAAGTTCATTTTTTTAATTCTTAGTCATACGTCAAACGCTGATTATTTAGATCTATTACATATCTAGCTTATCTAAAACAGATCCCATTCCGATAAAATCCTAAGAGATTCATTTAATTAAGGCATAAACACGAACATATTGTTATCTCATACGATAGTTTTCATTCAGATATCTAATTATCCATTAATGAGGACTACGGAAAGAGAAAGGGATGGTAGGGATGATTGATAGGAAGAACGGCTAAGGGGGGTTGTTGGGCCAAGACTAGTTAGTTGAAAGACCGGTTCCTTTAAGACTCCTGGTCGACGACCAGCTCGTTTATATTCGGCGTTGCCGGGACACGTTGTTGTACCCAGCTATAAATGTTTTTTTATGAATTTCACAAAATTGTTTCCGAGGATTCATGATTCCCCGTTGATTGTGAAAGAACGTTTAAACAATGGTTCCGTTTAACTTAACTCCTTTCGCGTCGATTGTGTTGATCTGTGCAATCGCTGGCGTCTTGTCGGAACTGCCGGATTTCCTCAAATTTTACCACGATCCGAGCGGAGAAGGACTCTACCAAAATTTCAGCCAATTGATCCCGTTGAATTCGGATAACTTCGACGAAGAGGTCTACAGAAGCCGGACTTCCTGGCTAATAGAATTTTATAACAGTTGGTGCGGTGACTGTCACAGGTTTTCACCCACGTGGAAAAAACTCACCCTAGATCTGCAAAGTGAGTACTTTAGAGATAGACTTTTCACTTTGTTGCCAAATTATTGAAATTGTTTGGTTCCTCAGATTGGAGAAGTGTCGTGAAGATCGGAGCTGTCGACTGCACAAACCCGAAAAACACTAAACTTTGCAGAGAATACGAAATCAAATTTTTCCCCACGGTCAAGTACTTTCCATCTTACCTCGAACAGAAATATTACGGCTTACCGATCGACAACTTTACTTCGATGGAGGGTATAAAGCACTTCGTCATAGACAGACTTCGTGAAAGGAATAATTTGCCCGTTCTTGTTCCGTTTAACGGTTTGTTGGAGGATATTTGGTCGAAAACTAACGCAAGCCATGCATTGGCAGTCGTTGAGTCCATGTCTTCTTACACGGGATCAGAATTGGTCCTTGACCTCATTGGGTCATCCGAGCTAACAGTGTTAATAGTCGAACCTAGCAACCAAAGATTTTTGGACTCGCTACCTTCTATGAACGTACCCGCGGCGTATTTTATAGAAAAGAACGGTACCGTCGATACATTACCTCGGTTCAACAGAGACGAGATCCTGTACGATGTCAGTTACAGGTTATCTCAGAAAGGAATCGACATTCCACAGCCGAAGAATTATACCGATTACGATTTTGCGCTTCTGACAAAAGAAAATGTAGATTCGACGTTGAACTTTCAGCTGCGGATTAAAGAGAAGTTATATCCGAAAAAATTCGACTCGACGGTGTTCCGTGTTGACATCGAAGGGGCGCTCAGTCAGTCGCTTTTCATCGAAATCCCTTCTAGAAACGAGATTTCCGGATGTATGCTCACCGCTCTCCAGAACTACACTAAAATCCTCAAAGATTACTTTCCAGCGGGAGCGAACGGTAAAAACTTTTTACGGTGCGTTCACGTTGGAGTCGCTGACCAAGTGACCTTCTCCGGAGCTCTTTTCTACAAGCTGGTGGAAAATTGTCTAAACAAGTACGAACCGGTTTTTCTGCCCTCCACGGAAAGGTGGATCGGCTGCAAAGGGAGCACCGTCTTCTTCAGAGGGTACCCGTGTTCCCTCTGGACCATGTTCCACACTCTGACAGTACAGGCGTACGTCAAGGGGACCGACGAACCGAAGGACGTCTTGGACGGCATGACGGGTTACATGAAGCACTTCTTCGGCTGTTCCTTCTGTTCGAGGCACTTCCTGAAAATGGCCGTCACCTTCCCGGGCAACGTCACCACCACGGAAGACAGTGTCCTCTGGCTCTGGAAGGCCCATAACTCCGTCAACAGGAGACTCTTCGGAGACGAGACGGAAGATCCGACACACTACAAACACCAATTCCCGCCAAAGAACGTCTGCAAGAATTGTACGGCTGAAGATGGAATGTACGACGACGAAGCAGTCTTGCCTTTCTTAAGAGAAATGTACACTTATATAAGTCCAATCGTCGGTTGACCTCGATAGTTGAACAAAATTTTAAAAAGTGATATAATAAAACAAATACCAACCATTTGCTCCTTCCATATTATATTAAGTAAGTGTTATTTAAAAATAATCATCATTGTTCGCTTTAAATTAGTTTTAAGTTAATAATTGATAAGTACGATAATTTTCACATGTTCAACTTAATGGGATCTTAACTTTTTATCGAAGAATGTGTACTGTACAAGAATGTCTGTGATCTCTCACGTTTACAATGCATTAAATTTATTCATTTAAACTTTTAAAAAATTAATTTAAATAAAAGTTAAGTTTGAATTATGCTATATAAATATGTAAATAAAACTATTTTGAAGTAGTGATATTGTTTATATTTTATCATAAAAAAGAGGAGCACGAAGTCCTGTTTGATCTGCATATCTGATCAAACCAAAACAAGAAAGGTAGGCCAAATTGATATAAAACCACGCCAATCAAGTTTTTATTATTATTAAATAAACTTTATGTAGTGACAGTTGATTGTGGTTATGTTTTGTTCGAGTGCGTGTATTTATTAGCGTAAGTGGTGAGAGGTCATGGAGCGTTACCATTGCCCCTTCAGCAGTGTGTGTGTATAATGCCGATTGCAGGATATTTATAAAAGTAGCCCATCTACCTTAATTTAGATTAGATAATTAATAATGTGGGTCGATAAAGGAATATCGAGAACTTCACAGACTAATCAGAATATACATAGGTGTAATCGTATTTATTTGTGCGATTGTATCATAGAAGTTAGTTTTAGGCTTTGGTTTGGAAGAGACGGTCTGGGCATATGGCTTAAGAGAGATAGTGATCCAGCCTCATAACGAGGTAGTTAACTCCTGAGGTATCGACCATAGGTTCAGCACATATGGGAGTGACAACCCTTCGGGGTGAAATTTCAATAAGAGTTGAAGAAAAATAGAAGTGTGAGACAAGTAGATGGGAAGTCAATCTAAAAGTATAGTATTGCGCTTCTGTGTGTGGGCAGCAGGCTTGAAAATCAATATAAACATCTACTGACAAGTAGTTTCAATATTGTGTATGCTCAAAAGAGTAGACTGAAGAAAATGTATCTGGACTTAAATGGAACCAACAACGGTCAGACTTCACTGCTACGCCATAGGAAAAAAGGCTTATAACACTACAATGGAAGAAGATAACTTCTGCAACCAGGATAAATTAAGCATTTGAAGTGCAGAAGTAATGAGTTTTTAATAGGTCAACCCTTAAAACTACATTTTATAACGTGTTTGTACAATTAAATCGTAATGGGTACAGTTGTTTCCAAACGAAAAAGCGAAGTATTTTGCTAGTATATGCATGTCTCTGACTCAATAGACGACATACGTTTCAACACAATTGACCGTTTCCTGCTTGCTCGTCAATCTGTATGTATTAACGGATTATCCATGTAAGGAAGATGGCGCCCTGACTCGAAACCATCTGTAAGATCGGATAACCCACTACAATAATCTGTAGAACTGTAAGGCGAGAAGTAATAAGCAATAAGTGTGGGTCAATTGTCACACTCAAAGAATCTGTTCGGAAGTCTTTATGAAATTTTAGATTACTCACAAGCAGGAATGAGCTTTTGAATGAGGTTAAACATCGTAGGAATGCGGGACAGCCACTCTCTACTTGGTTTATATCCATGTGCCTATAAAAAAGTTGCAGTGTTCTACTGGACTCTAGCGATGGTTGTAAATGGGCGTCAAAGTCGCAATGGCTCATAACATTTCCAAATGTTGTGTACGTAAACAAGAGACATAAGTTATTCAGATATCGTGAGATGCGGTCGGGTGTGATGTAGGTTTCAGAAAAACATTTTCTTTATCGTGCCAACGTTTCGTTAGAGTCGACACGCAAAGATGGCACAATTACACAGAAGACCAACACTTTGAGCCCTGAAGATGATCTCAATAAAAGATCGAAACGTTGGCACGATAAAGAAAATGTTTTTCTGAAACCTACATCACACCCGACCGCATCTCACGATATCTGAATAACTATCGATTAACGGTCACTAATCTCTACACACAAGAGACATAAGTTTCAACACAATTGACCTTTTCTTGCTTGCTCGCCATATAGCAATTGAGGCCTCAACACTTGCCAACTGTCTTAAGATACAGAATTAGGTAACAATGCTCCTTAGCACTTCAAAGATTTCATGAAACAGAACTGGGCACGGTAGACTCATTGAGCCTGAAAGGTACTTTACTTACTAATAAGGGATGCAGCCTTACTTAAGCCTGGGTCTTCTCCTGAATCAAGACCAACCTGTTCTGCCTACAACTTTCCTCTTCATCCTCTTACTATCAACTTCCTAAGGTCCTCATATCATCCGCCCATCAAAGCATCGGTTTTTCTTTCAGTCGCCTTACCTTCCTACCAACAACTTCTTCGATAGTCTTGAATCTGGCGTCCTCTGAACATCACTTAGCTCTCAGTTTATTAAATCTGACACGCCAAGCAGTTCTCGTCGAATTCTCCAAATCCCATTTTCGAATATCTTTCTGACCACCTTCCTATCCCATTCCGTTTACCTTTAAATCCAGCTCTCGCTCCCTACGCAATGATGGGTCTAATAATTGTTTTATAGACTGACTGTCATAGTGGATCTGGGTGTTTCAAAGTGTTGTGTACGTAAACAAGTGAAATAGGATTCAAAAAAGGTCCATGGTGCAGAACATGTGAATTAATGCAAAGAAACAGTAAAGTCCCGTGATACACCATACTAAAGAGCTACTGTAACCTGCAGGGGAAAGTGTTGTGGAATGTACAGCTCAACCATGGAAGAAAAAAAAATTAGGCACCTGGGTAAAAGAAAAACGAGATGTTTTTAACAGAAGAGTCCCATGACACACCAGACTGCAGAGCTACTCTAATCTGAGAGAGAAAGTGTTTTAGGATTCACAGCTCAACCATGGAAGAAAGAAAATTCTTTTTAACTACCTCGACAAGAGATAAAACGTGATGGATTCGGTCTTTAAATCCTGCAGAGAAGCAGAAGAGTCTCCTGACACACCAGACCGCAGAGCTACTTCAATCTGCAGAGGAAAGTATTTCGGGATGTACAACTCAATCATGGAAGATAGAAAAATTTTTAGCCACCTCGGCAAGAGATAAAACGTGAGGGATTCGGTCTTTAAATCCTGAAAAGAAGGAGAAGAGTCCCATGACACTCCATATCGCAGAGCTACTCCAATCTGCATAGGAAAGTGTTGTGGAATGTACAGCTCAACCATGGAAGGAAAAAAAATTAACCACCTTAGCAAAACAAAAACGAGTTGTTAAAACAGAAGAGTCCCATGACATACCAGACTGCAGAGCTACTCTAATCTGAAGGAGAAAGTGTTTTAGGATTCACAGCTCAACCATGGAAGAAAGATAATTCGTTTTAGCTACCTGGGTAAGAGATAAAACATGATGGATTCGGTCTGTAAATCATACAAAGAAGCATAAGATTTCCCTGACACACCAGACCGCAGAGCTACTCCAATCTGCATAGGATAGTGTTGTGGGATGTACAGCTCAACCATAAAAGAAAGAAAACTTTTGTAGCCACCATGGCGAGAAAAAAGTGATGTTAGCTCTCACCTGTTGTTTGATTTGTTGATCAGGATGGGGAAAGCGGCAAATCTGGGAAATTTTCCTTGATCATAGACGGTTTTGTCTGGCACAAAGGAAGTCGTGAATTTTCTGGATTGGATTTGTGATTCGGGGTTTATTCAATATTGAAAAGGAAGTTAATTATTATGGACCATAACGAAGGAAAGGGACATATAAAAATGAAATTTAATAGTTTATTTGCTTCATGATGTTGGCGTAGCTACGGCTGAGTTTGCATGCAATTAATGCTCTGTACGTCTCTGTTATGTAACCATTTCTAGAAAGTTGCGGAATTTAGTATTTGTATTTTGACGAAATCAAAGTTATGTTTTTTTTTTCAAAATGGTGTTGCCTATGTGAGATTAGTTTTGGTGTTTTACAGTCATAGATGTTGTTTTTTCCGTTTTTCGAAATTGCGATGCGACAATTCATATGATTAACTTTACAAATTACATCGGATTTGTAAGCTGTTGGTGTTGGGTTGTTGGAAAAAAGTGTGTGCTCTGTTTTATGGTTTTTGAAGACAATTGAATGTAGTCTGATTAGAGAAATACACTTAATTTGTATGACAATGTGTGGATGAATGGAATGGACGTGTATATTAGTTTGTCTTTATGTGATAGGTCTGATGATGTGTTGAGTAATGTGGAGGATAATTATTCAGAAATCGTGAGATGAGGTCTAGTGTGACGTAGGTTTTAGAAAAACATTTTCTTTATCGTGCAACGTTTCGATCTTTATTGAGATTATCTTCAGGGCCTGGGATTTACAAACATTGTTTACATGTAGGATGTGGAAAGAAGTGAATTTATACAATGCAAAAAAATATATATTTTATATTCAATCAAAGTATTTCTACTCACTCAAAGTGTCGTGTTGAGAAAACAAACACTTTGAGTGAGTAGAAATACTTTGATTGAATATAAAATATATATTTTTTTTGCATTGTATAAATTCACTTCTTTCCACATCCTACATGTAAACAATGTTTGTAAATCCCAGGCCCTGAAGATGATCTCAATAAAGATCGAAACGTTGGCAGATAAAAAAAAATGTTTTTCTGAAACCTACTTCACACCAGAACGCATCTCACGATTTCTGAATAATTATCGACTAACGTTCACTAATCAGCACACAAATGTGGAGGATGTTGTTTTGTGTAGTGCATGATGTTATATTTGAATTTTTTTTTTGTGAAAGTATTCGTGTTGTTTTGTGTTGGGTTGTAATTGTTTACGATCATGTTAATTATGTTTTTAAAGTAGTTGTCGTTATTTAAGATTTGTTGTATGTTTTAATAATTTTTAGGTGAAATCAGAATAGTATTGTTTTTCAAAATGGTGTGTAATGCCATGGGATTAGTTTTATTCATAAATGTGTTTGTTCTAGATATTGCGATGAGATCCCAATGTATACAGCTGGACAGTTCATACAATTAATTGTACAAATTACATCGGATTTGTAAGCTGTTGTTGTTGAATTGTTGGAAAAATGTGTGTTAGTTTTGTAGTTTTTGAAGTATATTTTAATGTAGTCTGAGGAGAGAAATTTACTTAATTTGTGTCACAATGTGTGGACGAATGGAATGGATATTGGACATGTTTACTGGTTTGTCTTTGTGTGATAGGTTTGATGATGTGGAGGCTGTTGTTTTGTGTAGTGAATGATGTTATGTTTGAATATATTTCTGGTGAAGTATTCATGTCTTAGGGATATGATTCTATGTAATAATCCTTTATTGTGTGCACGGGTAGTATTTTCCGTTATTTCATTCCAGTATTTTGAATGGAGAAATGTCAACTTTAGACTTTTAGTCGGACTTTCATATAGGATTTGAATAAAATAATAACAAAGTTGACGATGAACATCGTTAGTGGGACAGCGAGCCGGTATTTCCGTCACAATTCTGAAGGGTCAGTCAGTTTGAATGTGGTGGGTGCGGCGAAAGGGAAGGAGAAAGGGAAGATAAGAGTGAAAGCGGCGAATCCCATCAAACGACCCGTGCGGTGGTAGGGTGCGTAGATCGGGCAAAATTCATACCTCCCGACTCCTGTCAAAACTTGATTTCAGTACTTCGCCGATGGCTTTTCACTTCTGACGTCTTCCTTGGATCTGTAGGTCTTTCAAAACCTTCGACGTTGTCTTATCTTCCTAAAATGCGACCCGTGCCCTTTTAACAGTTGGGAGAAGAAAGCGAAAATGAAAAGAGAAACGAACGCCGTTCTCCTGTGCTCCTTCCTGGCCCTGGTCGGCTGTTCGAGCCTGTCTCCGGACTCGCTCAAATTTTACCACGACATCACCTCGGGGAAAGGGTTGTACACGAACTTCAACAAGATAATTTCCCTGAACCAAAGCAGCTTCAAGAACCAGGTCTTTGACAACACTTCATGCTGGCTTGTAGAATTTTACAACAGTTGGTGCGGCCACTGTCATCGTTTCGCTCCGGTATGGAAGCGGCTTGCCCTCGACGTCTACAGTGAGTATCGCAGTCTTCAATCAAACATATTGTTAGGTCACAGAAAGACTTCTTCTACTACCAAAATGTTATGCAAATGTTGAAAATGTCTTCAGTGAAGCGTTGTGTTCTGCAAGGTCTCAGTTGGATTTGAATCCGTTGGTTGATCTTAAAACTTCCTCCTGTTCACACCTATTCTCATTGTGCAATTTCGATCATTTAGGTCTGCCTATCTTCACTGGGTCGGTCTGTCATGCTCCACCAGTTATGATGAAATACGTCTTACCAAATCAGCAATGATAGGCAGACCAAAATAATCGATAACGTACAAGTTCATCACCCCCACTGACAACACTGAGAATTTCTTCGTTGGGCACAATCACAATGAGATATTTTTAGTTTGTCCCAGAACAGATGATGTTGAAACGCAAAGCAATAAGTATAGACCCAGATGGTCGGAAACAACCCAACTTCAAGTTCATTAACAAAACAGTTATGCTTAATTTTTGAAACAGTATTTTTACAGTTTTCTCATAAAGAAAGAGTATTAGAGCTTATTGAAGCTTGATCAACCAAACAACATAATCTGCCTAATCTTGCTGGGTTTTTTTCTATGGCATACTTTTCTTTATTTTACCATTTGCATACTGTTTCATCAGTCTTGTTTTTTGTGTAACTACCATTGGTAAAATGCCAGAAAGTATCTCACAGCCAGAAAGAATCAGCAGACCAGCATGATCATGGGAGAAGTAAGCAACAGATCATCATTTAACTTGCAATAGCGCTTTTTCATTCTGCCTATCAGATCTTTGCTGATAAAGCTTTGCACCGCATCGGTATCGACCTCCATATTGATGATTTTTTATAATCCAGCAGACTTCTACTATAAATCTTACAATTATGAACAGATTGTATTTAATTCATTAAAACAATATTATTTTCAGTTGAGCCGAAGAAGATTTACATACTATAAAAAGTAGAAAATATAGCATACCTATTCTTGCAGATTTTGTCTTCTTCTTCTTAGTATTAACCATCTTTTGTATGCTTTGGCAACCGTGGTCTTTTATAAGTTTGTAATATGTGAAGGGGTGTCCCCTTTAACACTTTCATCTGTTAATGCTTTTCCTTTATTTAATAAAGTATGGAATTCTTCTCATCGGTGTAGTATCGAGGTCTAACTTGCAAAATATGTCTTACAAAACCAGAATGAATCAGCAAACCAGCAAGCTATAAGGTTCGTCACTTTACCGACCTCACACCAGTTTCATAAAGAAGCAGAACCAGTCAGTTTCCATGTAACATTTTGTTTCAATAACTTGTTGCTAAAACTTAAATCAAGTAAACATGCACAGAGATGTGAGGTAATACTGAAAATTGACCATTTCATGGCATGTAGGATTTGTTCTGGGAAAACGTGAGATTATCTATCAATTAGTAATATTAAAACTAAAGCTAACTTGAGCATTGAGTGATTTTGGCATAGAAACCGCTATTTGTATCTGCTAAAAAAAAAGAAACATAGAAACCCAGAAAAAAAAATTTCAACTTGTTATTCCACAATCTGCTGAATTATACGTATAATGGAAAAATTAATTTCAATTTATTTAATTATTTCAATTCAAAATTATATAATTTCAACTAGAAAGATAATTTTTTGCGTTCTAGTAGAATTGAGGAAATATTCAATTATCGACATCCTGTATACATTGCAATAACACGTAATAAACGTGTTGAAGTGACATTGCTGTTGAAATATATTTATAATTTTCTCCTATTTAAGAATTTTCAATGGCCTGTGAAAAATACCGAACACCCTTAATTTTTAACAGTTAAAAATCATGTTATGTATTAGGGTAACTCTTAACATTCAAAAATATTTTTGAATAAATTTTGTTGAACAATCACAGTATGATTTTTTAAAATATATTATTATCTCGGTGTCGTTATGTATACCATTTGCACTGCTGACATTCCTATACATATGATCATCAATATCACTTACGGGATTGCATCGTCTCACTCAAATTTTATCCAAGAACACCTTCAGTTTACTAGTTGACATTGATCGACCTACGTAGTTTAAACTGATGTATTGGATCTTCTTGAGGTCATTTTAAAGGTGAATAAAGAACATCACTATGTAAATTTTATTTTTTTAATAAATTAGGCCCTGATGATGGCGGAACATTCGCCGAAAGCTTGGTGAAACCCAATAGTGATGTTCTTTATTCACCTGTAAAATGACCTCAAGAAGATCCAATACATCACCTTCAGTTTATCAAAGACTGGTGTGAAAAATGGAGGATAAGACTAAATGAGGAAAAATATACAGTGTATGTGACAAAATAGTTTTACCCTCCACTATTCATCAATGACGAGGAGCTACCGAATTCCAAGTCAGATATGTAGACAGAAGGCCTTTAGGACTGAAATCTCTTTGGATCATTAACTAACAAGACACTGCAACCAATTTATTCTTACGAACTGGAACTATGAGTTTCCAATCAAAACTCCTCAGAAAAATTGTCACTTTTACAACGACCTCAACTTTCCTTTTGTCAATGAATTGAATCTAAATTCCTCCTCGCCCATTAATCCCTCATATCGAGTGCGAGTGTTTCCCCTTAACATGTGTCCTCTAGGTGCAGTTCTGGTCATATTTACAATATTTATTTTTATATGTACAGGCTACAAAGAAATTATTTTAAAAAAATATATAATACAAAAAATATATTGCCTCTGTCAGTCAATGAACTTTGTTATTAACATACAAAGCCTTGTTAAATTCATATCTAAGTTAATGGTTGCCAAGGAAGAATTAGAAGTGCAAAAGTTAGAGATAATTTAATAAGAATGTCCGACAAGGTTCATCATTAATGTAAATTGTTTGAGCTTGAAATGATTACTATAATTCGAAGGAAATTTTTTCTAAAAATATTTACATACATAGTTACACTGTGAGAAGTGCTTACCAGGCCTTTTTGGACTTTTTATTGCGATAGGAAGACATTTAAACAATTGATGCAGGAAAATTGTTTGCTGTTTTAACAAATTTTTCACCCAGTCTAGAGCAAAAATAAGGAGAATTTATACAAAAAAATTCATTTTAGAGTTCAAAATGTTTACAAATTAAAATACTGAAATAAAATTAATTTATTGTATATTGATTTGGAAATTAATTTAGTTTATTTACAGGTTTTAATAGTTTGTATTATAAGCGAACAAATTTAGTTCTATTGAATGTATTTTTCAATATTTTTTTTAACATTAATTCTTTGATATATTACTGTGTAGTCAATAGTAGCTTTCTTATAACATAGGTGCCTGACTAAATAACTTTGCAGTATTATTCAAATGCGCAGTATAAACAGGTGGTGTGTACAGTGTCTGTTTTGAATTTTGAACATTTCATTATTTAACCAATTCCAACACACTTGTTCGCAAATCTAAAAGCGTAACAACATTATCTTGATTTTGAGTAAAATAGCATGCCTATTATTACCTGAATAAATACCTCAAAGTTGCCAAAATGGTCAGTGTTTTTTTTTTTTTTTTTTTTATTTTATGACCGTCAAATTGTATAATATTGCTTTAGAAAGTTGACTTATCAAAACTACTCAGAAGATGGAAGCAAAGTTATTCTGTGGAGCAGAAATTACTTGAATTATTTATATAATAGCATCTTTCATTTCTAAATCAATCAAAGTACTATCAGAACAAAAATGAATTTTAGAAATCTATCTTCCTTAGATAAAAAATTTAAAACAATGAATGCAGTAATTTAACAAAATAAAAAATGTTTAGAAATCATGGTATTGATTTTTTTTTCTAGATTGGAGAAGCGTGATAAAGATAGGAGCAGTTGATTGTTCAAATCAGGCAAATATCCAGCTATGTCGGCAGTATGAGGTTATGTACTACCCGACGGTTAAATATTTCCCAAAATTGTCTCCCGACAAATTTCTTGGATCGCTCGTCGATGAGAGGACGATTAACGGTTTGAGACATTTTATCGTAAGCAGGCTTCAAGAGAGGAGTGATCTGCCCCAGCTGTCTCATTACAAAGGGACGTCCGAGGACATCTGGAGTGGCATTGGAGAAAATTTTATCATCGCCGTTATTGATAACAACTCTTCTTTCATAGGGCAAGAGTTGGCCCTGGATCTCGTAGAGACGAAAGAAGTCAAAGTAGTCGTCGTTGAACCTTCGAATGCCGATGTCGTAGAAAACCTGGTCGTGACTTCCACACCGGCGATTTATCTTTTAGAAAAACATGGAAACACTCAACACGTACCCATCGAGCAATTTACTAGAGAAGATATCCTCTCCGCATTAGATAAATTATTAAAACCGAAGGGTTTGAAAATGCCCAAGCCCATTGACTACGCTGATATTGATGATTCTGTTATAGATATTACTCAAGCTATATCCTTGTTGCAAATTGAAGATCAAGTAAAGAAAAAGCTACATTCAAATCAATTGAGCGATACCGTGTTCCAAGTTGATATAGAAGGTGCTTTGTTGCAAAGCCTTTATACCGAAATCCCTTCGAAAAAACACATCGAAGGTGAAATGTTCAATGCACTTTTCAATTATATAGAAATAATTCATAAATTTTTCCCAATAGGCAAAAATGGTATAGAGTTTTTGAGTTGTATTAAACAGTCATTAATTAACAAGAAAAATATTGATGGGGCAGATTTTTATAATCTGACTGACGAGTGTCAGAAAATGCAAAAACAGGTTTTTCTTCAGTCAAAAGAGAGATGGCTCGGTTGTAAAGGGAGTAAAGTTACTCTTAGAGGATATCCGTGTTCCCTCTGGACCATGTTTCATACTCTGACGGTCCAAGCGGATTTAAAGAATGCCGATGACCCAAAGCAAGTCTTGAGCGGAATGACAGGTTACATTAAATACTTTTTTGGGTGCACAGAATGTTCTAAGCATTTTCAAGAAATGGCGACGACAATGGCCGGAAACGTTACCAGCACCGAATCGAGCATTCTATGGCTCTGGAAAGCACATAACAGTGTGAATAAGCGACTTTCAGGCGACGAGACGGAAGATCCGACACACCCAAAAGTTCAATTTCCACCACAGAGCATTTGCAAAAATTGTACCAATGAAGGCATCTGGAACGATACGGCAGTATTAGAATTTTTAAGAAAAATGTACTCAAAAATAAGTTTCATCGTTATAGAAGATATTCTACCAAAAACTTCTTCATCTTCAACTTCTGTCCCGTTTAGCAAATCTTTAAAGCACGAGGTTCTTGTCGATGAAAAAGACGTATCTTTCAAAAGTTTAGAGAAAGCTGGGCACAATTCGTTGTGGGATTTTAATTTCTTTGATATCAGCCTCTGCATCCTTTTATACTTTGTTTCAATGGCGATTATATTGCTAGTTTGTTTTAAATTTTACAAAAAGACTTACAGAAAGAAAGCAAATTATTTTGATGTATTTCAAAAAGTCTAACAAGTCGATAACACTTGACACCACATCACAAAGATGAGGTAATTGTATTATTTAGAGTGATGAGAATTCTTAAGCGCGTTCATAATTTGATACTATAAATACACTACTTCCTTTTATTTTTTTTAATTTTATTTTTATTCACCTTTTTTTGTCATTTATTATTTTTAACAATAATTTGTAAGATTTATTCCTTTGAACTTTTATCTGTGATAAAAATTGTGTTGATCTGTTGAAATATTTTATTTAATTTTTATGACAAATGGTTGTGATGTATGCCAAACGGCTTTATTTTTTGCATTGTTTGTTATAATAGTTATTAATTAATTTGTGTTTTTAAAGATAGACAAACAGACAAAAAATATACAGAGAGACTAATAGTAATTACTGTTTTATCATGTATTATTATCTAAGTATTGACATAGTTTATATAGGATGCCTTTAGAAATGGAAGTTAATTTATTTCTAATTTTAGCTCGCTAATAAGTTATATGGATATTTTCTGATACTATGTAAACAAAACACTGTTCATGAACTTTTTTAGATGTGTAAAAAAACTAATTTTGTACTTTCAATCACTACACGAGTACACATATTTTAAACAGGTGGCATTATAACAAGTGATTTGTACAAAAAATAATAAAATCTTTTCAATTGCTAGCAGTTTCCTTTTTTTATCTCTATCCACAATCTATCGTTGACCAGATGTAAACAATTGAGACAAAATAATGCAAACTTAGAAAGATAAAATGTATAGATAAAAGTAACCATGGAAACATTGAGCTTTTGCCTAAGTATAAAAATTAAATGTTTAATATTTTTGGCCATAAAGAACTAAATTGATGTGTTCATTGATTAGAAATTAAAATATATTGATTTTAAATAATGGAGGATGCAAAAAAGAAACAATTATAAAATTTGCTTCAACTAAAAATAACAAATCCACCTAATATTTATACAGAGAGGGAAAAAGTGGCCACCCTTAATATTTTTTACCATCCCAAAGACAATGCTCCATTAATTATTTTACAACAATATTTGGTCTGTTTAAAAGGATTAGAGGTAAATAAAACATAAAAATTTCCCACTCGTGTTTACAATTGGATTTTGTAAATAAATCTGAATGTTAATCTCTTTGTTGGTTTTTCTGTAAAGCTTCTTTCTAACGTTCCAAAGGTTTGATTTTTTTTTTTTAAATTTGTATCATTTTTAAGTTTCAAATTTTTTTGTGATGGTTTTAAGCGATACAGACAACTCAGCTAGAATCATAGCATTGTTGAAAGATGGAAGAAGTCAAGCGTCTGTGTCCAGGGTGCTTAAGATTTCCAGAACAACTATGCAAAGGGTCCTCCATCGCTAGCAGGATTACTGGAGATTACTCAAGAAGGCATGGATCAGGTCACATCACAAAGACATGATCTTTTTATTGATTCAAATTTACTCCGTAATCGACACTACTGCTGTTGAAAACAAGCAATGGCTTCAACAAGTTAGAAATATTAATGTTAGTTTTCGCACTGTAAGAATTTCAAAAGCGGGATTACATGCGAAAAGGCCTGATTTTTTTTAAAATTTTTTTTTAGTGAATAAAAGACAATGGATATTGTAACATTTGATAACAGGAGATAAAAGGCAGAAATAAATTTGTTTCTAAGTGTTTTAGTCAACAATGGCGTACTTGTCCACTGTCGAAAGATAAACATATCTCAAAATATTTTGACTAAAGTTAAGAATTGTTTGTCTTTTTATCAGCCAACAATAAAAAATTTTACTTAAACAAATAACACTTTTAGTATTTATTAGGAATTATTAAAAGACTTAGCAATTGGGTTGATTTCTTTCAAATAAATGTAATTGGAAATGATAAAATGATTTAATATAGTTTTTAATAACATTAAGTTGTTAAAGTGATCTTTCTTTATTTATTTTTATTGAAAATTGTATTTGGTAAAAACTAAATTACATTTTACATTGTATCAGGATTGCCTAAATGATGAAACATAGATGATATATGCGAAACAAATATACTCAGGCTTTTTTGTTTCTTTGACAAAACAACTGCATATTTATGAATAATTCTCTGAAACTAGAAACATTTGAAATAAGAAAAAAATACAGGAGCGAAGTGTCGTATTAAGCCCTCCATTAGGCTTTGGAATCATTCGAATAGAAATATAATAAACTCAAAGATAGTTCAAAATTGGTAAAACAAACTCGTCATTTTGGGAATGAGGAACATTTTGATTTTCAAGAAACATGAATATTGAGGGGGGAAGTCCTTGCACATAAAGTATCTGCAGGTTGGCCAGTGGCAATCCAACAACTTTCCTGCAAAATAAGAAAAGAAAAAATTCATAAAAACAAGAAGCACGATTTTGACATCATTGGACTGCTCAATGGGCATCTGAAAATTATTCTGCAACAAGGAGAAAATGAACTGCACAATACAACTTTTCCACTTACAAAATTCATTTATAAATAAGATCCCAAGAACTGTAATTACAGATTGGGGATATAGTAACTCTTGGAATGAAGTGAAGCATAATTTGTTGAGTATTCTCCATTCTAATTAGATAAGGTCAATTTTTTATTGTGCCTCCTAATAATTTATTTATATTTGCCATTTTTAATCTTAAAAACAGGTCTTCTGTTTTTTATTTAACATCAGATTAAAAACAAACCTCCATGGTGTTTAATTTAGCATGAATCTCCTATGAAAAGTAGTCCTGTAAAAATAATAATTTCATAGGGACCGTAGTAGCCAAGTGGTCAGTGTGTTAGACTCAGCAATATGGTTTTGTTATTTTCAACTGTCTAGTGATGTTGCAGTTGCATAAGAGCTTGGTCACTTCCACTTTCACATGCTGGCCGTGGTGTTTGGTGGCAAATCATTGTATTTCTGCCATGACCTCAGAGTTCTTAAGAACCCTATGTAAGTCCTTATTCCTTATGTACCAAGGTGCATTGACCATGATACTCAAGATTCTATTTTGGAGTATTTATATAAGTTTGAGTTTGCTGTGTTTGGTACAACCCCATAGTTGAATACCATATGCACACATAACCTTTAAGACTTGTTTGTACAATGTTTAATTTTGCACAGTAAGGTTAGATCCATATGTTATCAACGAGTGTACTCTATACCTTAAACCTATTTCTGCCCTCTTTTTCTTCACATGCTCTTTCCATCTCAGCTTGGCATCTAAAGTCCAGATATTTAGCTGTATCCGTATGGTACTAGTTATAATATTTCCATTGATGGTGAGAGACGTAACAATGTCCAATTTGTTGTATATGCTTCTTGAGCCTGAGTTTCCTTTTTTTTATCCTGTTACCCGCATTTTGACTGATTTTGGATGAAAGTTGATGCTTGGTTCTACTGATATCATTGCTGTTTCATCTACAAACACTGCAATTTTTGTACCATCTATTTACACTCGTGTATAGCAAGAAAAGTATTGGTCCTTGATTTCTACCTTGTGGCACTCTAGTATTTATTGTTTTTAGTTCTGAATATTGGCCTTCTTGTTTGACTCTAAAATAACTATCAGTTAAGAAGGAACTGTTAATTTCTACATTCTGCTTTTTTATCATCCCTTTTAGTTTACTGATAAGTCCTTCATGCCAATATTGCCAAAAGCTTTTCAGACATCAATGAAGACAGCAAAATTTTTATTAATTATTGAAGTGCAATGAAAGTTAAAATTCTGTTAGGGTAGGTGATTCCAAAGTCTTTAATGGTAGTTTGCCTGTCCAATTGGATGTCTTGTACAGTCCAATTATGGTTGTATGGTAATTGTAAAAGACATGCTGCGTCCAAGATTATAATGGGTATAAATTTACTCTTATTTATATTTAGTTCCATGTTATTGCATGAACACCACTCTATAAGATTATTTAAAGAATTTTGGAAAAGCTCAGCATTGAATGGAAGTTGTAGCAGAATATATTCAGGTCATCAGCAAAGAGGGAAAAATTAACTGGCCAGAAACAAGGGAAAATATTTTATGGTTATGAATATTTACCCATAACAAACTTGTAAAATTAATTTAAAATGTAGTTAACTAAGGGATAAAGCAATCAGTCAAATTCCATCTTGAAATCACATAATTAAAGAAATTTTCTGACATTTCTACATTTTCCCTGGTTAAAATTTAGTTTTGTGCAGTCCACACTTTAAAGGACTTTTCTACCATTATAATTACTCAACTGTCAAAACTAAACTAAGTTTGTTGGAAATTAAGGAATCAGTCTGTGAATTTTGAGCGCTAGTCCTGCATTTTTATTACTAACCTTTTGCATTGTTAAAAAATTAATTAAATGTTTCAGCTATTATTATATGTAAATAAGAAAGGATGGCAAGAAAAATGGAGGATTTCAGATTTAAGGCACTTCTTTATTTGGTTGTAATGTACAAAATGTCGTCCTCAAAAATATTGAAAAGTAGAAATTTCATTTGAATGTCATTGAGTTATAATTAATCCATTATTGCTTATTTTTCTTAATGTTCAGGTTGAAATCTTGGTATTTTCATTTTCTCATAAGTAAAACTTTTCATTTCTAGCAAAGCAAGTTTTTTTTTCAAATTTTTTATACACTTTCTTCAATTTTTTAAAAAATTGAACCATCTCGGCCCGAACGGTAGTGCAATAAAACGGAGGCGAACTTTGTTTATAGGAAATTGTATTTCATGGGCATGGACGTTGGAATGTGGAAGGTCATTTCCGTAGTGGGCTGGCTGCTTCTCGCTTCTTTGGCAGCGTCTTGCTGCTTCCCGTTGATCGTTGGCAGGACTGGACCAAACCCCCTCCTCGCAAATGCTTCTAACGCCTTACAAACCTACGAGGAGCCTTTCAATTACCCAAAAATAAATATCCTCAAAGACTTTCCTTGATAAACAAATTAATTTGTTTATTTAAGACAATTGAATATAAATAAAATACGAATAAAGATTGTAGAATTAAAATAAGAATAAAGATTATAAACCTTTGTAATTATTTTATTATAAACAATTTAGCTACACTTTCATTGTTTGAATTAATATATTTTTTATTAAATTAAATTCATATCAGCTATAAATAAATTAATGAATTATTTTGTGAATGCTACACAATCTTGGTTTTGCCAAGTCAGCTTCTTTTTTTTTTAAATATTTTTTATTTCTTTGGAACTTTGTGATTTTAAACAAGGATACACAGCCACCTAAACCTCTTACTTTTATTCCCATTAAAATACATTTTGTATATGCCCTGATTGTTCATGATCATCCTAGACAAACATACAGTTGGTAAAAAAAGTGCATGTACCACAATATAATTTCACTTAATAATTAATATACAGTTTATGTGTACTACTTAATTTTTTTATTTTTGTTATATTAAGATCTTTAGAGGATAAAATCCCACTTAAAATATCACTTCATAATCAAATAAGAGCATACAATAAACTTCTGCCTCTTGTTTGTTGCAAATAACCTGGATATCGATGTGGTCTGGTTGGAAAAAAAAATCATTATCTGCAAATCTTTCGACCTATTTTAAGGTCAACATCAGGGCAAAACAATTTTAAAGATGTCTAAATTGACATAATTAAGCTTTTAATAGATGATTTAAAATTTCTTTGAAGATCAACTCCATCCAAAGCATTGCCAAGGACTGGGGAAATTTAGAAAAATAAAGACGAAATCACTAAAATTGTGAATAAAAGTCTGTCTACTTAGATTATGATTAGAAATTATAATGCAATGTTTTGCATTGCGAGTAAACCTACATCTGTACGGCCATAAAAGCTTCCACACTGTCGTAAGTGTCATCCTACGAACTGTTCATGAAAATCCAAAAATAAGTGCTCCTACAATAGCTGGTAATTTGGTTCAAGATTATAACTGTTGTAATGCGTTACATTATTTGGCGAAAAATGACTGTATAGCAAATTTTACAAATAAATTTGAAGGAAATGAACAAGATGAAAAACTATGAAGGGTGCAGCACTGAAACCCAGACCTGTAATACAATGTGGCACCCAAGCAAATAGAAGTAGCTTAAGTAGAACAAATCAGAGTGCTCAAGCACAGTTATCATACCAGGTGGTATACCTACACGCTTTCTATAAGGAGCCAAGGAATGGCATCCTTCAATTAAGTGAAATTGAGCAAATTTTCTCTACATGCTGGCCACTTAAGCGGGCTTTGGCTTAAAAGTAAGTGTGTCAACTTCATAAGGCCGTTCTTAATTGGATGAAAATGACCTCTCTTCTATAAGTCAGGTACTCCAAGTGCTATTATCAACATATAGCTCTATTATTAAATTAATTTCATGCCGTTATTTATTTTTGTTATTATTATTTTACTGTATAATGGAAATATTGAAAAATGTATTCTCAATGACCATCGTGCAAAATCTCTGAGTATTTGCCTCAATGTACAACAAATTTTAATTCTTTTCCTTCTTTCTCTTTCGGGTTTTCTTTTTTAAAGTGGTTTCATCATTCGATAATTAATATCTTAAAGAATATATTCTTTAGTTTTATTATTATGATTGCTATTATTTACTATATTTATAAAACTAAATTTACATCTAAAATATGTACATATAAATGGGCTTAAAGTCCTATTTGTACCTTTAAATAAATAAAAAATAAATATAAAAAAGTCATTGTTTTGTATATTTTATTTAAATGTTTTATTATTATTATTGCTATTATTTACTATGTTTATGAAACTAAATTTTTTTCTAAGATATGTTCATGAAATGGGGTCAAAGTCTTATCTGTACTTTTAAATTAATAAAAAATAAATATAATGGAGAAGTTGAAAAAATTATTCCCAATCTTGCAAAATCTTTGAGTATTCATGTCCTTGTTTTAGTTGGCCGTTGGATAATCAATTGCTAATTTTAAACTTATGTTGAGGTGAGCAGCCCCAGAAGAAAAGTCCCAATGCTTCGTTCAAAACATTTATTGACAACGTTTCAGACGTCTCACATCCTTCATCAGGTACATAAGCATTGTTTTTTGTGTCAGTTACACTCTTTCCGGCGTCCCAGATCAACAGCCATTTAGAGTTTTTCTTTTTGATATTTTGGTAGGTCAATGCATGGGACTTTTCTTCTGGGGCCGCTCACCTCAACATAAGTTTAAAATTAGCAATCTTTGAGTATTTTTATTTTAAGGTTGAATATAAATTGCTTTTGATTATTTGTACGAGGGGTTTGTCGGAATTTTACCATCTGTCTTCTGTGGCAATATTATAGAATTTGCTTCCTTCCTTGTTTCAGGTCCATGGTATCTGCGCTTTTTCTTTAAATTTTCTTGATGGACAGCCATACCTTTTTTTTAATGTACAAGATGTAAAAATGTAACAGTTTGCAATATTGAACGTATACACTGGAAGAGAAGTGCATGTATAAAATACGTTTTGAGAAACGTCATGAATCATCTTGTCTTCCGTCTTCCCTTTCTTTTCCCAATTTCCTTTTTAAAATAAACAAATCAACCAAAAAATGGAAAATCAAACTCAATCAGCTTAAATCAGTACATATAAACTTTACAAACGAAAAAGTGGACCATGTCCTGTTGCTCATATTCAATGGAATTATTTTACCATAATAAAAAGCAATACAGTTAAATATCTTGGAATGACCTTTGATGTCAGCTGAGATGGAAAGTACACGGGAAGAAAAAAAGCTCAGATACAAGTTTAAGGTATAGACAACTATACCGGTTGATAGGACATGGCTCCAACCTTGCTATACAAAATAAAATATTTTCAAACAAGTCCTAAAGTCTATGTGGACAGACATATGGTATTCAGCATTGGGGTTGTACCAAACACAGCAATATTAAAATCATACAAACACTCCAAAATAAAATCTTATGTAATATCTTATTTAAATGTTTTATTATTATTGCTATTATTTACTATGTTTATAAAACTAAATTTATTTCTGAGATATGTACATGCAAGGGGGCTTAAAGTCTTATTTGTATAATTAAATACATAAAAAAATAGACATAATGGAGTTGTTGAAAAAATTTATTCTCAATGGCCATATTGCAAAATCTTTGAGTATTTTTATTTTAAGGTTGAATATAAATTGCTGTCGATTTATTTCTATGAGGTATTTGTCGGAATTTTACCATCTGACTGAGGTAAATCAACAATTGTAAAAAAGAGCAATAATAAAAATTGAAGAGAGACTTTTTTGAGAAGGAAGAGGGAAGAGCAGAGCGGAGGGCTCCTCGGGCGTTGTAAGCGTTTAGGCCGGACCCACCTCGCCGTCTCGGCCCGCTAGGGCTCACTCACACTGTCACTGGCTCAGTCGGCCTCGGCCCCGTCAGTATTGAAATTGGGAGACCCAAACGGCAAAACCTCCGCTCACCGCTCGATCTCCTGTCCGATTTTCGGCCGAGTATGCGACCCGTTCTCGCCGACTCATCCGGCCAGATGAAACTTTGAACGACCGAAGACGCGACACGAGATTTTGATCCGCTGACGGAAAATACCCGGAGTCAACTTTATCAGTCATGACACTGCTCAAATATGAATAGGTAAGCCGATCCACTTATTCGCACTTTGGCCCCATTTGTTGCTCGATCTTTTGACCTGAGTTTTCACGACGTTCCTATAAATAATCGCAGACTCCTGCCGTATCGCATCCCCTCGCTGCCGGACCTTGGACGGCTCATTCTGCCTTATCGTCGAACCGCCTCGCCCCGCTGTGCTTTTCTGTTTATTTTTATTTTTTATCCCATTTTTTTAACAATAACGAGTTCCTTTTTGTTTATCCTCCGGCTGTTTTAATTTTGTTTTCTTTTCGAAAGTCCGTCAACAGACGACACGGCCCATTCTCACGATTACATTGCCCTAGTCACCTCCTTACGGTCCGTACACGCACCGTCGAACCCCTTTTTAAAAATCCTCGTAAATCAAATAATTTTTTCTGACAAAAACAAAAAAAACAGACCACAATGAAATAAATACAGCATCCTACAAAAGAAAAAAACAAAAACCATGAAATAACACTATAGTTTTATCTATATATTCAACAGCCCAGACATTATAAGTAAAAAACGCGACAAAACAAACGGGAAAATAAATGAAAAATTGTTTTAAAAAATCGTTTTGTAAGCCCGACGTAAGTTGACCAGTTTTGAATTCGCATCACGTTTTTCCCCATGTCCTCTATCAAAAATTCCACCTAGCAAACTGTCCAACTCTCTTAAAATTGTTTGACAGCGGTTAAGGCCACCAGGTCAAACCTGGTTAAGCTGTCAACAATTTTAGTGAATTTAGAATTTACAAAAACATAAATAAATAAACAGTCAATTAATTGTCAAAGATGCCCCAGTCCCTTGCGCAATATGAAATTTAAAATTGGGAGTAAAGAAGGAAAGAGCGAAATGCTAAAAATTCCGTGTTGGCAAAATGTCAAATTAAGCTACTTGAAACACCAGAAATATATCGAAGGCGGGGTAAATAGCCGATCTCATGGATTCTAGGGGTCAATACGATCTCACTTCCACGTACTTCAACAGAAATAATCCTCCTTTCTGCGTCGTTCTATGAAATGCATTTTTCAAATTCAGAATGTACCCACTTCATCTCTCTCATTCACTCACTCACTCCTCCTTATCGATATCTCTCCCTCTCTCTCATACACTCACTCATTTTCAACCATTCTCTCTCACACTCGTTCATCCATTCTCCACTCTTTCTTTCGTTAACTATCTCTCTCACTCTCTCTCTCTCTCTCTTACTCCTCCTTCTCCATATCTCTCCCTCTCTCACTCCTCCTCCATACCTCCCCCCCTCTCTCTTTCTCTTTCTCACTCTCTCTCTCTCTCTCTCTCTCTCACTCTCTCTCTCACTCACTCACTCACACTCTCTCTCTCTCTCACACACACACACACACACACACACACTCTCTCTCTCTCTCTCTCTCTCTCTCTCACTCACTCACTCACTCACTCACTCATTCACTCACTTTTTTTAAAAACAGTTTTCGCTTAACATGGAAAAAATCTTCATTTTTAATTATCGGTTTCATCATGTGATGGTTTATTTATGGATCTGACTTGTTTTCTTCAATATCGTGTTGAAATTAACTTAAAGATTAATTATCTGAAAAATGTCTATAATAATAAACAAGTGTTATCTTGGATTTAAAAAAAAAAAAAAGAGTCGTTTAACCAATCTGACAATGCCTAGTGCTTGTCGCCCTTTCATTTATTTATTGAAATGTGATTGTATTAAAAAATGCCTAGTTGTGTCTTAAAAACAAAGAAAAATGTATTCACGTATTCTGTTCTTTCAAGTGTAAAATTATTTTGTAAAAATAATGCCGCTTTTTCCTCTGAATTGTTCAGCATCGACTTTTATCATCTGACTGTTTAGTTCCACATCCCATTTAATTATATATATTTTACAAAATCTAGTTAACAAAATGCAAGTTAATTTTAGTAAAAATTTGTTTAAACGACTTATTATAACGCTGCGAAAAGATGTGAATTCACCGGACGTGCGATTGAACTGAACTTTGGACGTTCGTGAGCAAATAAAAGTTTTTTATATATTGTTGATCGTTTTAGTATCATGGCCGATTAGAAAAATTGAAATTATATTAAACGACGATTTCTAACATATTTGAAATATTACAAAACAAACCAGATTGTGTCCAATTTGGGAGTTTTTTGCTTGCATGTATTGTCATTGTATCTGGCAATTTTATTCGACAATACTTATGTAATTATCAATAATTGAATTGGGAAAAAACCTATTCTTTAAGTTTTTTTGAAGATAGAATTTAAATGAAAAATTACTTTTTCTTCAACGCTTCGGAAACTTGTCCCATTTTCAAGTTTAATCTTTTAAAACATTTTAAATTCTTAAAAACAAAATAAACTTTGTCAAATATGGGAATTTAAAATGTTTTATGAAATAAAAAAAAGTTTAAATGACCAAGTTTACGAATCGTTTTTCTTCCCCCCTCCAAAAAAAGAGTATAGAATGAATAATAAGCTGCGTGAGTGACTGTGAGTGTGGGTCTGTGAGAGTGTGTGAGTGAGAGTGAGAGAGATATCTAAAGAAAGAGTGGAAAATGAATGAACGAATGTGATAGCGCGATGGGCGAAAATGATTGAGTGAGAGAGTGAGTTAATGTGAGAGAGAGAGAGAGAGAGAGCGTGGAGAATGAATGTAAGTGTGAGAGAACAGTGAGGAGTGTGTGCAGAATTGCCAACAAGGGAGAGAATTGTGGAAATTGAACGTATGAGTGAGAAGAGCGCGCGCGCGTGTGTGTGTGTGAGAGAGAAAGAAAGAGGGAGGCGGAGATAGAGTAAGAGAAGAGAATGGTGGAAAGAGAGTGAGAGAAAACGAAAGAAAGAGTGGAGAACAATGAACGAATATGGGAGACAGAGGGAGTGATAAATGTGAGATAGAGAGTGTGATGACACTGAGTGACAGTGAGAGAGTTCAGAGCAATTTCTACCATCAAAAGGCCTAAAAATAAAAGAATAATTTTCATCTATACAAAGTAAAAGAAGGACAATAATAACAAAGAAACATGCAGATAAATTATTCATGGTCTGTAAATACTGTCAGACATGGCTTACAGAAAAGTTGCCCCTTCTACTGAGCTTTAAACACGTGTGCTTAATTTGTCGACGGTCTGTTATCTCTCGTGTAAAATTAACGTTATCCCACGAGCAAAACTATGTTCCTTTTCTTCGTTTGTATAATGATTCGGCATATATTATTATATTGTGTGTCATCATCAGAAAGGAATAAGATGGAAAGCATTTCACAAGTTTGTTAAAATCTTGTGAGCTAAGTAAAAATTACACGTTAAGAAAATTTAACAAACGGTCTAATCCCAAAAGGCCAGTGTTGACATATAAAATGAGAAAGTTTTCATTACGAGTAAGTCATTTCAATACATAATATATATTAATTATATGTGGTGATTAGTGACCGTTAGTCGATGGTTATTAGGAAATCGTGAGATGCGGTCTGGTGTGATGTAGGTTTCAGAAAAACATTTTCTCTATCGTGCCAACGTTTCGATCTTTATTGAGATCATCTTCAGGGCCTGGGATTTCCATTGTTTTGTACATTTGTTAAATTTAAACAATGTTTGTAAATCCCAGGCCCTGAAGATGATCTCAATAAAGATCGAAACGTTGGCACGATAAAGAAAATGTTTTTCTGAAACCTACATCACGCCAGACCGCATCTCACGATATCTGAATAATTATAGTAATTATAATAAACGTAATATATATAAATTAAAAAGTAGGTGACTGTCATTTTTGCAATTCCTTTTCCTCATGTGAACAGTTTCTTCCTCCTCATTAGATAACCTGAAAATGAGGTCATCATTGAACCATGTAGGTGTTTGCTCAGATGCCAGAAACCGGCAGCCGTATTTCCTTTAGTTTTACCCTGTTTAAATGTAACAATGAAATTGCCAGTTTTGATGAAGTATCATGAGTTACTGCGTTACTGCCATCTCTGGAGTTCGTTCACTTCTCCTGTTTTTTTTTTTTTTTTTTTTTTTTTTTTTAATGGAATCTGAGTTGGAGTCTTTGTTTGATCTTGCCTAAGTATAGGTTAGGTTTTGGGCCTATATGGTCTTACATATCTCTGGGAAGCTGTTGACCCAGAATTACTTGCCAAGGCATGAAATACGTCAGGTTCTGCTTTCCCTGGTTTTAAAGATTTTGGGTGCATTAACAGACTATTTTGGGTGTGATGTTTTTAAGTGCTAATGATTTTTGGGATGTTAGACTGTCTGATCGTCTGATTTTTTTTTTGTCAGTGTACCCTTTTAACATTTTGTGACTATTGTGATCAAATGCCGTGGTGGAATTCCCTAATAGGTTTGATTGCTTGTACTGAATCTATCTTACTCGGTTCCTTCACTGATTTTTGAACTTAGATGTAATATTATGTAAGATTGCCTGTAATATATTTTTACAGAGGTTGAACACAGCCGTAAAATAGAAACATGTCATTGAAAATTTACTGTTACCTAAAAATTTAGCTCGATGGTTTTATTGTTTTGATTTCATTATTGTAGTTTTTTTTTTTAAATGTTTAGACCCTGACCAAATCGTTGCTCTCTTATTTTTCTACATAATTAAACATTTGATTACTGTTACTGTTTTTTAACCTATCAGTCTTACGATCCAGTTGACTAGTTAACAATGACAAATAAGTTTCTTTAAAATTAAACTATAAAACTGCGTTTTTCGGAAAAAGGAAAACTGCGATTTTCGTTTTTCCAATTGCCCTCTGTTTTGTTATATTTTTTATTTTTATATAGGAACCTATTCAAATATACTGAAGACCCATTATCATTAAAAAAATAGAAGAATATTCAAAGGAACACACGTCAGATTATTGCAGTTTTTATGTTAATAATTTCAAGTTTGGAAGGATTGTTTATTAATTTGATTTAATTACAATTTGACCGTAATAAAAAAAATATTTTGACTGAACAGCCTAATCTAACGATCCAATGGACTAGTCACCATCAAGAGGGCAAGGC